TTGTGAACGTAGTAGTATTCCTAAAAAAAAATAACATTATGCACATTAAATTAATATCAAATTCGAGATAAATCAAAAATGTTTTGAATTTACCATATACGAATCTAATAACATATTTTTCTTTTTTTAGTACACAGTGGTTTGGTATACATACTGCAATCATATGAGTTTTAATTGAATGTGATCGATTTATGTTTGGTYCCATAGCAAGTTGAGAAATGTATCAGTATTTCTCCTTATGTTTAATTTATGTAGTTTTCTAGTTAGAAAGTTATATTTTACAAAAGGTTTCATACCTGATTCAAATAAAACTACCCTATTATAATATTATATTTGCATAAAAAGAACATGGAGTACTTATGACGAATGCACAGTGCACACAATACATGGTCTATACATACTGTCTGGGTTTAGTGTTCTTATTACTAACTGTTTATGAAATAAAAATAAATTGTTGGAAAAACTACTTATATTTTATGTAGACGTTATAAAACATTTAATTGTACATTATTGTTATTAAAATATTGTGTGTTAGTTTTCGTTTCAAGTGACAATATTGTTTGACTATGGCAAACMTCAATACTGAATTGAAGTCATTTTGACTTCAAAATACAACAAAACCGTTCTATAATTTGCGCTCTTTTCAAATTTTTGGTGATTGGAATGTAAAATAATAACGTATTTCAACAGTATGTTATAATCAATTTATTGTATCACACAACTTCAGGTTTGTTCTACATAATTCTCAGAGCATGTGGATTGAGCATCATCATAGATCTGTGGATTTGGAATATCCGTCTAGATTTGACACAAATAAGATTATTTTTCTATGTAGGGTCGTTTCAATAGTTGTTTGCACAATTCAAAAGGATWAAACTATTGTATAGGTACGTAATAGATTTTATAGTGCAGTGTTCCTATATTGCCTATACGTTACGCCGTGTTGTGRCTTACAACACGTGTGATTTAACTAATTTTGAATTAAAATACTGCACGTAATTCACTGGAGTCGTTGTTATGTACTTAGGTATACATTGAGTTCCTATAGAAACATTCTAAAGCTTGTGTACCTTTTTTTTACATTTTAAATTTCCAATACCTATCATACCCTTTATTGGCATAAAAAAATGTGTCTAATGATTAAAATTAAAATGATTATCCTAAGGATTATAATATGATTAATATTTTCCGAATCACTAGGTACAAAAAAAATAATCTAAATAGATGTTGATTTTGACCTGCTTCGTTTGGCGACCTAATTAGACTCTGATATTGACTTACCCTCAATGTCGTTTCTCAGTATTGTCACTTAAGCACTAATACATTAAKCTCTCATTGATTTATCAGATTTGTTGTATAATTGATTGATTCGTATGTAAATAGTTAGAACTACTGTTGATTATCGGTAATAATACTGTCAGAGCACAATATTATAGTAATTTATTATCTATAAAATATATTCGTACGTTCATTCACTGTAAGGTATTTTGAAACTAATTAAAAGCATTAACATTGTAATCGTAAACATTTTATTATTTCAAGGTTTAATTCATGGTTCATGAACCACATATTTCTCCACGTCTAATCCTTTTACTTAGATGTAGGTAATCGGAAATTTTGATTTTRAATATGTATTATTTCTGGACACTCTCTTCGACAAGACATCAAGGTAAATCTTCAAAAAAATGCAGTCGGTGAGTATATCAGGCGTTAGCCATTTAATTACCTAACAATATATTTAATAATCTCGAAACCAATTTATTATTACCACACATACTATTATATTGTGATCTTCTTTTAATTTCCAAATTTCCGACTTATAACTCCCAAAAATATTGAAATCGCGGATTATTTCAGTATGTCTTGAGGAGAGTATGCTATAATATAATTTCTTTTAAGACATCTGCCAAACTATTTTCTTTAGAATTTTCATTAAATTGATAATGATGAACCATTATAAACCACAATAATTTTTTTACACTAAATATTTTGTAAAATCTATCACTTCAATAAAATGTATATTATAACTAATTAATGTTTAATTTTAATTTTTTAATGGAATGGAGATTTTTTTTTGTTTACATTATGTCTGCAATTGTAATTAATTAAAATAGTTAAAAAATACAATCTAGTAGCCTCGTTAAATATAATAATAAAGTCTTCATAGAATGTGTTTAATGAAATTAAATGATAATAAGTTCAGTTAGTCCTAATTAGAAGATGTGCTCAAATTACCGTAGTTCCGTTACATTACAAAAAATTATAATAACATACCTATTCTACAATTTACACTTTACAGATTTCAGCCATAAAATATATAAACCGTATTCGTTTCTAGTTGTATTCTTATTGTGCCATCTAGTGGTTGATAACTAAAACGTCGCTTTCATATTTCAACGTCTTATCGATAATTTTTAGTTTTTAATTTTTTACCACTTTATAGCAGATTAAATGTATTAAATAATAAAATATTTAAAAATTGGATTATTTTATAAGAATTGCTTTTGAATTTTTAAAGAATAATAATWATTATTTATCCTTATGGCGTTAGTGAACATTTTTAACTAAACATGTTCTCCACTTCCATAGTTCACAATACTATATCTATCTAGGTTATCCCTCAGATGACAGTATAAAACATAAAATCTGAAGTCATAAATTCAAATTTGTATTTTATTTCTAAATTATAATRATCGTATTTAATTGTATAATTTAAATTTAGTTATAATACAGCGAATGGATTATATTTGTGCTATTTACTATAAGTAGTACATATATTAGTCTTGTAATTAGTGTTTGCCAGTTCAGCATAACTGATAAGTTCTTTACAAATAAATATTGTGACAAAAATAACTCAACACAAGAGTACAACATTGTGATGTAAATTAATAAATTATTTTATAATAAGAAAATATTGTATATTCAAATGATTCGAGTAAATGTGTTAGCTGCTATAAAACAGAAAACTAAAGCACCGTAGATTTTAAATTTGTATATTCGTATATTAAAATGAATGCAATATTGTAATAACAAAATTAAATAAATTAAAATCATTTTATAATATAATTTACATATTGTATAGATTTTAATAATATATATATTATAATATAGTGTGTGAAGTAGTATAAATCATTAAACTATGAGACTTTGAAAAGTTTAATAACAATTTTTTTTCCTCTTAAAACTATTGGTAAACAGACTTTATTATTATTGAGGCCTATTATTGCTATAAGTAGGTACGTAGATCGACGATAACTTAATGTCATTATTAATTTACGTGTCCTCAATAATAGATCGACGACAATCCGCTTCCGCCCAGGGGCTCCGTGAATTCTAACTCGGAGTAGGCGTCATTCGAGTTCACCACGAATTTGATCAGACCAAACTTCTCGAACTGCACTTTCCACGACCGCACAATCGTGGCTCTCGACAGCGCGTTGACGATTTTGGACTTCAGATCATCTGCAAAAACCAATCATAAACCATCTGTTTCAACGTGCTTCCGTCGTTAAAGACCTTGGGATGTTCTACTCTCTCTCTTCCCTACTTTTGAACACCGTCATCACATCAACTTTACCGTTAATAGACCAACGAAAGCACTGGAATTCATTAWCAAACGTAATACCAAAGGTTTCAAACCTGCCCTCTGCCTCCGTTCATTATATTTACCACTCGTTAGACTCCTCTTTGAGTTCGGTGTGGTCGTTTGGCACCTTCTTTTACGAGATTCCAACTTCTTCGCCTCGTACGAGTACAGAATAAATTTCTAACATCATATGCTGCTTTCATACGCAAAATTATTCCGATCGCACACCAAGATTACGCCAAACCTCTACCCACTCGTCGTCTTGAAGCTGACCAAAGCTTTATATCGTCTCTTTCAAACGAGTCCCTGGATCCCCCCCCCACCAGACCTTCTTCAAGCGGTCTACATTAGAGTTCCATCGTACCCTACCCCCAACCAGCTACACATTTCGTTGTCCCCAATTACACTGCCCATTACGGCCACAACCACCGCTTTCACCGCGTGCCAGAACATTTAYCTTCTGACTCTCCTTCCAATTATACTTAATTATATTATATCCAATTATATTTAACATTTATATATTTGTATCAAATTCTTAATTATAACGTAAAAAAACGATATCGCAATTATAATAATTATAATAACACACATTGCGTGTAGTGGCCCGTCAAAATAGTAAATATAATAAAATTACCGTTTAAGTGTTTTCCGCAGACGATCGCGTACGGAGGTAGCGGTCCGATGCTGTGCAAGATGGTTATGTCGTCCGATTCCTTGTGCAAAACATTTTTGTAATTGTAAAACGCCGTAGAATCGACGGCGGCGGCGATCACGTTTTTATCTTGCACCTTCTCCACGGTCRACAAATGATTTCCGGTCTCTGTAACACGCACACACACATCACCGGATGTCAGATACTTTGATATTACTATATTAATATTATTATTTACACACTTGTRCGTTGATTTAGCGTATATAGTTACGGTTCGGCGTAAATACTTCGCACGACACGTGTATACAGAGCGATACAATAAAGATGGACCTATTCTTAATAATGCGAATTTTATTAAAGTTTTAATTTTTGAATCAGCAGTTAGTAGATAGGTATAATAATTAATAGTATGTCTACTTGAAAGTCATATTTTCGAATAGATACTTAGATTTTTTACCTCTGGCGGTACAAATTTCTTACGTTATTTTTAATCTGTTTTCATAATAGAACCGCACCCATTTCTACTAGAAATTGTTGGTCTGATGATGTTTTTTTTTTTAACGGTGATATAGTTTCAAATTTATTCAATTGTAGATTTTTAGGTACTTAAGAAAATTTGTCCTCGTGATTATAATGAGTTTGCAAAACATTTATATGACGTATGGWGTATACATATCTAATCTGGTACTTGTCATTCAATTCTCAAAAATTATACATGATTATAACTGCTGCAATTTTAATATCACCAAATATCCTCCAATATGGAATATTACATCCTTTGAAGGTATACTTAAAATATAATAACTGACTACTAATTTCGATTTMAATTTATCAACAACTCTTTCAAAAAAATTATTTCCACAATAATTTACAATCCTAGAAGGTAGTTTTCATTCGAAAAAAGAAGTTTGTATCACCTCAGGAAACTCCTTAAATTGTATACAAATCTAAGTTTTTTGAAAACATGGTCCATAATAAGTGTACTTCAAAATTTCAAAGGGGAATGAGCATATTATGCTCGTTAAATCCTCTTGAACCTATACACAGGAGACAGGATGTCTCACGATGATCTGACATATATGAAATGATTTTTGTCATATTCAATATTTAAAAAATGTTTTTCTATATAATTCATAGACACAC